TTTTACACTTTATTTATAAGACAGAACGGCAAAATTTTTATCATGTATAATTGTCAATGTTTAGTTATTCATTGTGAAGGAAGTAATACGTTAATAAAGTCGCTTGATCTCACCTTTTTTGCCAGAATTGTAGCTTCGGCATTCTTTTTTTCATCGCCATCTGCATCTAGGACATGTTTGCGTGGTAATTTGTCAATCTCAATGGTGACGAGTTCAACCGCAGAAGTAGCAGTTCGCTGCTGTTGAATAATTTCTTTCTGCCGAATTTCAGCTTTATTCGCTTCGATCTTTTCATCGTCACGCATACGTTGAATAGCCTTTTTGGCAATTTCGAGCCAATTTTCTCTTTCAGGTCCTTTTCATTTTACAAGTAATTTGGAGGCATACTCAGATACATATTTGGGCCAATTTGAACTATCCTTCGATAGTGAATTTAAACTCCGGGAGGCGATTCCAAGGAGATCTTTTTCTGACAATATCGGGTTGGTCTTTAACAAATTACAAACGTAGGCGTTTATTAAATGCCATTCTTTCAGTGGCCTCGTAGTAACATAGGAGTCATGCTTTGGATTTTTTGGGGCTACGAAATTTTGCATCTTTTTGGGAGACATTTTTTTCGAAACCGCGCGATTATATAAGTCGCGTGAATTAAAATTTGCCTAAAATCACATGGTTTTTATTTATTGGCGCATCATCACAAAAACCTATTTATAAATCACCTGGTAAAAAAAACCAGATGTATTCTAAGCCTTTTAATCGAGGGTAGTTGTAACTTGTGTATCTTGAGGGCAAACCCCATCAGTCTTCTTTTGGTGTTTGTTTGCTTGATAACTTCCACTCTTTGAGTGGTTGCGGTTGCGACTGCTTTCACATCCTTCCTATGTCAACCGACTATGTCCAAGACTTATGGAATCGCGTACTCCGGAAGATGTATCGATTAAAAGAGAGTGACGAGGGTCGTCGTAACTTGTGTATCTTGAGGGCAAATTTTCGGAAGTATTTATACTTTCTGGAATTTTGTTTGCTTGATAACTTCCACTCTTTGGTGGTTGCGGTTGCGACTGCTTTCACATCCTTCCTATGTCAACCGACTGTGTCCAAGACTTATGGAATCGCGTACTCCGGAAGATGTATCGTCACTCGACAGCTATAGCAAAAAGGATCCATTCATATATACAGATATTCAACCCCCATAACACATTACCATACGGTTAATATTAAACCTGGTTAGTGGGCGAAACTTTATTAATTCTTGGTAAAATGATGGTCCTTTACATTAATTTTCTTTCTTAGTTCACGAATGTACATAATACACGTCCCTCCATATATGTTCGAAGCCAGAGAAGTCGATATATCAAATATGTATTATATTGCTTTTAATTATCTCCTGGAGTCTATATTGAAGAATGGTAGGAAATAAATTTATTTCGTGAAAGTTCCGAACTTTTGGTCGTGATAGTGCATTTCAATGGATCAACTTCTAGGCTTGCAAACTAATTACTATTCTTTCGTACATATTTCCGAGAAATTATTAGCATCGAAAAGACGGGAAACGTAAAATTTCGGTGGGTTTTTCGAAAAAAATATATTGGTTACTGCTAGATAACCAATAGTTTGTTCATTCTGACAGTGCATGTTTCGTACAGATATAACTAATAACCATTTTTATTCTATTCAAAATACCGATGACAAGTGAAACCAGATTATAATTAATATTGAGATAACATGTTAATATTAGATAGTTTAGACAATAGTGTAGGCAATAGTATATAAATAATAAATAGATTTGATTATTTTTGATTTTTATTACAAACAATAAAGCAAAGGCGTGTTGGCGCAATTTCACGTCAATATTTTTTTATGAGATAAACTTTTGAATATAACTGTGTTTTATGTAAAACAATGGCAAACGCACAATCCACAATTGATTCATTGAAAGAGTTGAATCTCAAGCTCGTTCTTCAGATTCATGAACTTAGAAAGGAGTCAAGACCGAGAACACAAGATTAAACAGGCTATAGAAGAAAATGCAGTACTCAAAATCCGGTTCGAAGAACTAGAAAAGAAACATAAAACAGATACTGCAAAGCTTACGGCCGAGAATGCTGAGCTTAAAGATAAAGTCACGAAATTGGAACTGAAGCAGACTCAAATCATCATTAATGACCAAGACGTATCTTCTACAAAAGATATTTTGCAGTCTCTGGCTTGTTCAGAATTATCAGTAAATATCCAGATCCAGGCACAAAGTGCTATTTCTTCCGAAATAAGAGATGAGTCTAAAGGGTCATTGTCCATTCAATTACCTATCGAAGGCCAGTCTGACAAGGAGAAAAAAACATTACTCCTGATCCCTTACCCGATCTAGAACATAGCTCGACAAGAC